TGACCCCTTGAAAACTTTTTACAAAGTTCAATGACCATTTGGGCAATATAATCCACAATGTTTGTTGAATCTAAACTAGCAAATTCCAGTTTACTCCTAGTTTTTAGAATTTTTTGGGTTTTTAGTCCACTCGTTAATTTTGCAAAGATGTTTAGATTTCAAACGGTTATATAGTTCGCTTCAAATGCGGAGACAAGCCCGTCAATTAGCAATGGAACTGTGGAGAATTTTTCTGACATTACCGACATCCAAAATCTTAGACATAATTCAGGAGATCGAGATATTCCATGCTGCTGCAAAATTTGGGAATGTTGAGTTTTTGACTCTGCTTAGTTACTCATATCCTGATCTTATATGGAACTTTGACTCCGAAAGAAATTCCATATTTCATATTGCTGTTACTAACCGACAAGAGGAAGTCTTTAGTCTCATCTACCACAAAGGAATTAGGAAGGATGCAATTGCACTAATTGAAGATAATGATGGAAACAACATTTTGCATTTGGCTGGGAAAAAAGCACCTCGAAGTAGACTCAATATTGTATCTGGACCAGCTCTTCAAATGCAGAGAGAGCTATAATGGTTTAAGGTGAGAAATTAACACTATTACAAGTCCCCTTCCCTTTTCCCCTCGAAGATAAGGTGAACACTTTATAGCATCAAATTGTATCCTGAATATATGTGTGGAGTTCTTAGAAATCTCTTATCTATTCTATGTAATATCAAAATTGAATTTTGGATGATTATGCTGTATACATTAATTTGAGTAAGCTATACAGGCTGTGGAGAAGATTGTAGGGCCTTCCTATCTTCAGACGAAAAACAGAGACCACAAAACACCAAGGAAGTTGTTTACGCTGGAGCATGAGAAGTTACGGGAAGATGGTGAGAAGTGGATGAAGAAGACAGTAACTTCTTGCATGGTTGTGGCAACTTTAATTGCAACAGTTGTGTTTGCTGCAGCCTTTACCGTACCAGGTGGGTATAAGGAAGATATAGGCGCCCCAATTTTTTTTTTTTGATCGGTAAATGTAAATGTAAATGTATAGATCAAAAATGTACGATGTACAAATACACCGGGCATACCCGGGCGAAACAATGTCCATAATCAAATACAAGTACTCCGGGCATACCCGGGCAAATCAATGTCCAAAAACATACAAAAAAGATCAATGTTACATCTGATGCGGTGGCAATGTTTACAGTTTTTGTTATATCTGATGCGGTGGCAATGTTTACCTCTACAGCTTCCATATTGATGTTTTTGTCTCTCTTTACTCCACAATATAGAGAAGATGATTTTCTATTTTCATTACCGACAAAGTTGATGGTTGGATTAGTTACACTCTTTGCTTCAATCGTTTGCATGGTCGTAACATTTAGCACAACCTTCTTTTTGGTCTACAAGGAAGAAAAGCATGGGACATTGTCGAAAGTTGTTGCTGCTCTTGGTTTGCTTCCAATCATTTTATATGCAGTGCTAAATTGTAGGTTATGGATTGCCATAATCCACTCAACATTCTTTGCATCAAGGTTTATGTTTCGACCGCGTAACAACAGGTTTATCTAAGAAAAGTGGCCACAATATTAGTTGTTGTTACTACGGCTTTATTTTTCAAGTGCACGAATAAGTGAAAAAGCTTTCTATTTCTTATTAGTTCGTCTTTGTTTTCTTCTATACAGTTATAAATCAATATTTTAGCTACCAAAGCCACAAATAAATCAAGTGGAGTAGTCCATGAGAAACATCAAAAATCACATTCCTCAAAACACGTTTAGTGAAAAAAAAGAAACAGAAAAAGAAAACACAAAGCAATTCATCATGGTTAACATGATCATGCAATGAAAGTTATTTTGCTCAACTGCTGTGACTTTATTCATAAATGGATCCACTACTACTCGAGACAGCAAAGAGATCATGTCTCTCCTCACTTGGTGAATTTCATTTGGAGCAAAAATTAATACGGGAATTCTTTGCAATACCAGTAGCCAGTGGCGGACGCAGACATTTTGAGTTAGTGGGACACAATTGAAATTTAAAAAAATTTAGATTTACGTTTATATAAATACCACTATGTTTGTCATCATTTTCATCACTTTTATCTCAAATATTCATTTCATTAACATTGCGATCATAAAAAAAACGCATATTTACGTTTAAATTATTTTTCCATCACAATTAATTCAAGTGAAAAATACAAAAATGACAACAATTTTGAATGTTAAATTATCAAATGCATTCTAGTTCAAACAAATACAAAAATGACGGCAAAAATCCATTACCATAAAATTGCCAAAACAAAATAAAAATTGGAGCACTTAAATGGAAAGAATCCATTACCCTAATTCCATTTCATAAGAAAATACAAAAGAAATCATAAAAAAGAAATAATTTCCAAAAAAAGAGGTATATAACTTTCGATGAATATCTTTCACATTCTTTAAAAATTTAAAACTTCATTCGAAGTTTTCAGATTTTTCGAGCTGGAGTTCTTCTGCTTCAAATCTGATTTCCCAAAAAAAAAAAAATAATAATAATAATAAATAAATCTCAATTTTAAGTTGTGGGTCCGCTAATGCCAGAGTGGCAGTAGCAGGGGATTTCCTTGCAAAAAATAGGTTGTTCGTCAACTAATCAAATGTAGATTCTTAAAAAACACGATTCTAATGTACTCTGATGATCTCAGAAATTTATGTGATTAACATTGGCACAAAAATTATAATTATGACAATCAAACACATTTTTCCGTCTTCTTTTGAATTAATTATTAATTGAAGATGACTGACTGTGCAGCCAAAATAAATATAGGTATATTCAGCTATGTTGCTTTAAATTCACTTCCATCCCTCAGATTTCAGCAAACACTTTATGTACACAAAACAAATTACCTTCTAAAACCCCACGCTTTGCACTTTATAAGCAACATCCCCTTTATATCCGGTGAAGTATGTGCAGCAGCAAAAAGCATTACCAAACATACTGTAAGGACACAGCAACATCCCCTTTATATCCGGTGAAGTATGTGCAGCAGCAAAAAGCATTACTAAACATACTGTAAGGACACGTCTAAATACTCAAAGTGGTTGAATACGTTCATTTAAATCTCACTCCTTTCACAGCCAGACTTACAATCTGACACCTGCGTGTGCATAAGTCACATTCAAATGTGATCACAATAATGTGGAAGGATTGGTAAAATATTGATGTCTACATTTTCGTTGCTCGAGGTTTTCCTGACAAATGTTGCTTAATTGTTATCTTCAGCAGGTGGATGGCGTGTAGAAGCAGAAAACGCAGTTCAAAAATTTACGAATCAGAACCAGAACTAGAATGATCCAGAGGTAGTTGAATCAGAAGATATCAAGCCACAACAGACGCCTAGCCTGAATATCTATATCAATGCCACTATCCTTTCCCAACATTCGAAAGCTTATCGAAATCAGTTTATGAATTCAATTTACCAGTACCAGAGTTGAGCAAATTAATTAAATTCTAGAAGTCCTTAGAATGCACACAGAAAACTGGTTTTAAATTTATTTTAGATGAGATTTTGAATTTACTAAACTAATTCAAAGGACTCCAATAATTCAAGATGCTGCAAAAATTGGGAATGTTGAATTTCTGAGTCTGCTAACTCGCTCATATCCTGATCTTATATGGAAAGTCAAGTCGACTGGTTACTCTATATTTCTTGATGCCGTTAAGAATCGACAAGAATACCACATATGAGGTGGAGAAGATTGCAAAGATAAATCTACCTTGCTATCTACCATTAGTTAAACTTGAAATTGAAAAATAGAATATGAATCATCAAGGGAGCATGTACCTCCAAATTTACAATACAAATTGATCACATTAGGTGAGAATCCAACTCACATAGCCGATTATCGCAATGGAGCTTTCCAAATAGAGTAACTTGCTATGGCTACCAGAAAGCTAGAAATAACCAGCAAATAGCATGAAACACAATGAATACATCATTTTTCATTGGTTGTCAGGGAAAATATACGAAAAACAAAACTGGACATAAATATTGCCAAAATTTAAGAACATTGTTTTCTTGAGGACAAAGATTATATACAAAATTTACTTGACTATGTTTTTCTAGTATCTTATTTTTATGATATAGGACCTGACCTTGAAACTGCAAATCTAGGCAAGGGGCTAGGACCCGGGCTGCTTGATGTTGAGCCTTCAACAAATTTTGTCTTGCAACTCAAGCTATAATCCAAGGGCCCAGATCGCCTAACATTTCGATTTTTGTTGTATGTACTCATGCTACCATTTTCAGTATCATACTGATCTTGGCCATGAGTAAACACGTTGCTCTTACAATCGCCTCTCGCAATAACGTAAACACGTTCAAAACCCTTTGCATTTTGAAATAGTTGCTACTAAATTAAAAAATAGCGTCTGAAAACC